TGATGTTGAGAGAAGTATGAGTGGGGGGGGGTGGGGGGGTGCGGGGGGGGGGGGGGTGGTGTGGGGGGGGGGTGGGGGGGGGGGGGGGGGGGGGGGGGGGGGTTAGCCGCAATATAAAAATATGAGTGTCATTTTTATTTTATTTTTAAAAAAAAAATAAATAAAATTAAAAATAATCCTTATAAACAATATTTATAATACAAAATATTCCTTAAAGATTAAAAATTCTCACATATGTACTACAAATGAGAAAGCGAGTAATTTTATTAACATGAATCATGGATTAGGTGAAATGGTTGTTCATCAAGAGGAATATCATTTAATAGAAGCTATGCTTCGTAGGTATACTTACGAAAAATTTTTATACGTATAGTTATGACTCCGTCATTTGTTAAACAAATTTTGGTATGGTCTAAAAACTTTATATTGAGAGTTGAAAATTTTGTTATATATTTCATAGTAACACCAAAATCGATTCTTCATCTTCCTATTGGTGGATTCCGTCAAAAGAAACCGCTAAAACTTCTTTTGATGAACTGACTACTCACAACAGGCTGATCCGTTAACACCGATAGCCATCGTCGAAACATTTTCCCCCGTCGAAACGTTTGACACCCGTCGAAACTTTCGCAATTTTGCCTTTAATAAAAAAATTTGGCAAAACGTTTCGATGGGTTTCGATTTCGATGCCTGTCGAAACCTCGGGGTTTTGCCCGGCAACCTTAGAGGTATATTTTTGAAATCTTAAAAAGGATTCTTGTTATTTGCTATAGATTATCGGATACGATGAAATTAAAAAAAGGACCCAATTCATATGTTGTTTATGAAGCGATAGATATTATAAGTGACCGTCAGATTTTAAACACACGTCAAAGTTTTTACTTTTAAAAAATCTCATTTGGTACATACTAACTTGCTCTACATAATCATTATATCCTTTAACTGAAAAAAAATGTATTAATCTTGATGATCTGTAACTCATCAATGACTGTCAATTTAGACTTACCAAGCCAAGAATACTTCTAGAATCTATCTTTGTTGTAAATGATTCAAGTTTTGCAGATATAATTATTTTACCTAGAAATTTAGAATACAATTAATTTAAATAGAAATTATGAAAAATATTTATTCCAATACATATTATAATAATCAAATAAATAAAGAAGTAAAAAAAAAAATAAAATAATAAAAATCAATGATATATAATCCATATCGTCTAGTATGAATAACTCGATAAAGAAATTAAAATCTTTTTATTTTATAAATAATTTTATCTCGGATAATTTGAAAACTAAAGATTGCAGTAACAATTCATTTCACCGAAATTTCACGTGATATATTTCTGTTACCGGTGTCACATCCCTCCGTGCTTCATTTTTTTTTTGGTAACAGAATTCAGTAGTTATCCGTCACCTGTGCGCCACAATTATATTCGTGACCATTTCAGAAAACCGGCATGTACTACTCGGAGTTTTTTTTTACCATAATGTGCAACAACTAACCACAAAAAGAATTCTACGCCGATTTTCTATAAAGAATGCCATTTTTTAAACGAAAAAATTTTTTTCTTTACTTTAAATATCCCTTAATTAATTTCTCGGCTATCATGTCAAAATCAGAAACAAAAAAAAAAGATCTATTGCATAAATATAAATTTTTCATGCGTTTGATTAAAATGCAAGCTGACGTTTTTTAACGAAGCGAAGCATTTTACAAGCTAAACTCAATTTTGATTTTCGATTTTGAAAGCAGTTAACTTTATTTGGTAAGACAAGAAGCGGTTAGATCCATTTTTAAGACTAGTTTATTTAGGAAAAAATTTAAACCGAGGGCTGAGGTAAAAACTCATAACCATCGAAACAATTTGCAATATAAATAAAAAAAATGGTTGGTTTTAAAAAAAAATTTAGAAAAATCCTTAAAAGACTTGGAAAAGAGAATTAAGGAATTTGAGCAAAGCAACGAAGGGTTACGTTCACAATTCAAAGATTTAAAAGAAAAGGTTAGAGAGCGAGAAGTAGAACTAAAGCGATTATTAATAATTTAGAAGAAAAAGTTAGAAAACGAGAAGAAACCAAAGCCAAGCAAGAAATTTTTAATGAATTAGAAAAGAGAATCAGTAATCTTGAATTAACGTTAATTATTTATGATGATACTATTGATAGTTTAACTATTACAAATAATAATAAGGATGACATATTGAACACCTTAGGCGGATTGCAAAGATATCGAAAATTGACAAAACTCAGTTGCTATGCAACTCAAATAACAAGCTTACCAACTCCTTAACGAGACTCTGGTGTTTTGCAACTCAAATAACAAACTTACCAACATTACCTAATTCCTTAACGGAACTCCATTTGAAATACAAGCTTACCAAATTTACCCGATTCATTAACACAAATCTACCATCCATATTTAAAAAATCAATAATCCTACCGATTCTAAAACTTTTGATACAATTTAGCAATTTAATTTAACTGAAAATTATTTAATTTTTTCATCTTAAACAATTTAACTTTTTTGGTTTAAACATTTATTTATTAATTATATAGAAAAATATATTTTATTGATAAAAAGGAAATTTGCATTCCTTCTAATAAAAATTACATCCTTTTTGGCCAAAATTAAATGAAAATTACCATGTTTTATAATACTGTATAATTTATAAATTAAATCTGTACCCTTTTAGAATTTGACGTTCGAGGTAGGGTACCTATTTCAAATTTAATGTGGAAATCGGAGAGAAAAAAAATCAAGAAAAGGATTGCGAAAGGGTATTGTCAGTTATTAATCCGATTGGCATCTATCGGTAAAATTGTTCAAACGATAGAACCTGAAGTAAGCTTGGAAGATTGTACGTGCCGGAATGTTTCATCTGAATGTAATAATTGTGTTCAATAATATTCCAGGAATTGATCAGATTAATCTTATATTAGTTATAAGCGTTAAAAGCATTTCAAATTTATATTGAAACAAATTATATTTTACTTTTTTACTTTGTTGTATTAATGAATGAGATACCAATGCGAAATGATTAAAAGATGATCTACTTGTCAAAGACATCACATTGTTTAAATGCTTATCTTATCTGGAGTTACTTGATTTTATTAAAAAATTGAATGAGATCCTAAAACAACAAAAAGAAAGTGGTTTATAAGATCATAAATATCTCAAGCAAGTTTGAGCTATAATAAATTGACACAGGAATTTTTTTTCAAAAACCGTAACATTTTTTGATCTTGAAAAAAATTAACAGGTAATTATTTTTGTTTTATTAAATTTTTCAAACAAAACAAATTCACTTCTTATTTGATCATCAAGGAAACATCACTTTCGTTGTTGTACATGATAGAAATCGCCTCAGTTTTTATCATGATATGATTCACCTCGAGAGCATTTTTCTTTATGAGAAACAATTCCAGTATTTTTATAATTAAAAGAAATGTTCCGGAGCATTTCTTGGAGAAAAATATCAAATCTAACTCGTTGCGTGCCTGGGAGACAACGTGCAAAGAGACCAAGACTGTGTTCTGGTAAATTCCCTTAAAATCTGGTTTGCAATCTTTTTCTTATAAAATTCGTCTTTTCATATTAATTATATATCCTTTTGGTAATTTGGTAAATAAATTTAAAAATTTTTTAAATTTTATTTTTATTTATCTTTTATTTTAAAAAAAAACATTTTAACAAATACACTTCTTTTTACAGATTGATAATAATTTATAGATTTTCCTCCGAGTTTACCACCATTTGGAATGTATGTATTTTGTCATATCCTTTCTTCTAATCTTTTCTAAAATATTTATTTGCTTTTAGAATAGTTTTAATAATTCTTAACTATATCTTTTACCGACTATAACATTTTTATGTTACATTTTTCTCATTCTCATATATCATCCTAACTATATAATTCATTCAGATTGACAAACCCAATTAAAGAATAATTTCCTCCCAATTTGAGGCAACTAACTATGAGGCAAATGTTTGAGGTTGCAGATCTTTAATTTTGGTTGTTCAGCCTGGGTATTAGTATTAAACTAATGGAACAAGTACCAAATCTCTAATAATATTTAGTTTTGAGATATCACAAAATCAAACAAAAATGCCTGGTTCACTTAAAATCAAGTTGAATAATATTCTTCATCTTGATGTAGCTTTAAAATCATAATGTTATTTGCTTCTATAATACAACAAAATTTGAGTCATGTAGATTAGAATATATTATCAATTTATTAGAAAATAATTATAAGATAATTGAGCGTGCCAGCAGTAGGATATGGTGTAACAATATTTATGATGTTAAGTCACAACGAACAATCACGGTTACAATCGAAGAAGTTAGAATAGAGATTAAGACGGCAAAGAATGAGCAGTAGAAATCAAAGAATAGTTAAATGAATTTAATGAACGGGGAATCATGGCAGATTTAATACAAGTTATGAAGAGAAGGCAGCACACAAATATTATGCTTAGAAGACAGAGTGTATAGCTTAAAAACTATCATATAATTAATAAATGAGAAGTTGCGCCGTCCCATACCCTTATCCGGCTCAAAATTTTAACTCATAAACCGTCACTAATATTTAATATTCCATATTAGGTCATCATCATCCATTTATCTACAAAAGGATATCTTCTGGCGTAACCTGGAGAAGTATATAGGTAAAAATGCTTTTAATGCTCGAGAGTTCTCTTGATAAATAATTAAAAATCAATCTATTTTGGTGAATATATTTATAATTTGTCAACCGGATATGAATTCAAGTTTGGACAGCAAGGTTGGTGATGGATATGCCTCAGGCCTCCCTAGTTTTGTGTATAATAGCCGCAACCTGCGTTGCAAAAAAGTGATTGAAAAATATTATTATTTTTTTTTTTTTTGCTAACTACGCTCATCTTTTTTGTCAATAGACAATAAGCGTACAGATGAGATATTGCTTGAGATTCTTCAGCATTGAATTGTTGCTTTTCTCATTTAAAAATAATAAAGATGTTATGTTTTGATATTTGATAGATTAAAGAAATAGAAGCTAAAGAACATTATACAAATAAGGAATAAATTTTTATAAGTCAATAATTATAATGATTTATATTGTGTTGTTTAAATTAAAGCTAATAATATCACTTTCCTAAAAAAATAAAATTAGAAAAGCAAATTAAACCTTCTAGTTAATATAAACATTCTTTAAATTTTGTTTTGAATAAATAATGCACTTTTTAAATTGTTGTATTTGTTACTTTACAAATCTTCAATAATTTTATATCTTAATTAGAGAATTTAAATTTTATAAATCCATATCGGTCATTATATCCAAAATTTCGATAAGAGTCAAACATAACTTCTACAATAATTTCACATCTACTTTTTGGCAATAAACTTAAATTTATTTTAAACGTAAATACTAGATTATGGAGATTAAATAATAATTATATTATTTTAATTTTAGTAGTCTTTTTGAAAATTCCTAAAGTTGTAGTCATTTATACTTCTATTTAATTGATACTTCTTAACACCCCAAATATGATTTTATTGAAAAAAAAAATTAAAAATTAAGTTCGAGTCGTCCAGTTGAAACTACAAATTGGACTCATATCTTGTAAATGATGATAAGTATTTAATTCAACCGAATTTTTAATTGTTTGCAAATTAATAAAACTTTAATGAAAAAGAATATATATTAATACGAGTTTTATCTTGTATTAAAAAAAAACATGTGCAAAATAAAATTGACTTTAGTATGATTTCTAAACAAAAAAAAAATAAAATAAAAAATTTCTGGAATATTGAATTTTTGTTACCCGTCAAAAACTTTACAATCTGTCGAAAACTTTGCGGCTTTTACTTATTTTGATAAAAAGTAAAACGTAAGAACTTAAATAATCCCATTACTTTATCTAAAAGTAAAATCAATATTAATTAATTTTTGATAACTTAAAAAAATTTTGCAACTTTTGAAAAAGAATTTTTTGTTATTTGCTATAAATCATCAGAAACGTTCAACGGACTTGATGAAATTAAAAAAAAAGGAAAAAGTCAACAAAATTCATATGTTGTTAATTATTATAAGTGTCATTGATAATTTGGACAAAGACTATTCAACTTCACGGTAAGTACGGACAAGGGATAATCTTGTCTCATGAGATCTCAGATGGACGTCCTTGAATTAATGAAAAGGTTGAAAGAGCCACATATGTTCTTTTTCTCAATACGTTGCGTATTTCTTTAACGCAAAAGGTTGACTGTGTTATATGTTACCACGACAGAGGTGGAACGCATAATATTAATTTTTCAAACGCTGCATTGATGATGTAAATACTTGCAAATTGTTGTCGTCACATGTCATAGTTTAGAGGTTGGAACCGGTTAATTTTTAACCGGTTAAATAACCGGTTAAAACGGTTAACATGTTAACCGGTTAAAGATTTTTTTAACCGGTTAAAATAGATGAATTTAAATCCGGCCGAAATTCAATTTACGGCCAGAATTAAGATTTTTATGATTGACAAAATATAGTCTAACTCTGGCCAAATTTATAATACTGGCCAAAGTTAATTTAACCCGGTTAATTAACCGGTTAACAAATATTTTAACCAGTTATTAACCGGTTAAAGAATTTCGGCCGGTTCCAACCTCTATCATAGTTTTTATTATTAAAAAATCTCATTCAGTACAGCAAGGAACCATTATATCTTCTACACTGAAAAAAATGTATTAAGAATTCCTAAAACTAATCTTGATGATTTGAAATTCACCAATGACTGCCAATTTAGACTAGGTAAAGGACGGTCGTGGTCGGTCAGTCGGTCAACCGACCGACCGGTTAACTGACCGATTTTAACTAACCGGTTGACCGACCGGTTAATATTAATATAATTGATATAATTGAGCAGTTTTGACTTAATGGAAGTTTTATTTAGCCTTAAGTCAGTCGGTCAACCGGTTGGTCAAAATCGGTCAGAATCGGTCGGTCAACCGGTCGGTCAGAAGCCTTTGACCGACCGACATTGGTCACGGTTATGACCGGTTATGACCATGACCATTAGCATCCCTAATTTATACTTACTGAAATATATCAAGAGTACTTTATATTATCTAGAAATTTAGAATTCAAATAATTTTAATATAAATATGAAAAAAATTTATTCAAATATATTATGAAAATGATCGAGGATAATGATCGGCGAGTGCTCGATAAAAATATTATTTCTTTTATTTTATAAATAATTTATCTCAAAGTTCTTCCCAAATTCTTAATTGAGTTACATAACGATAAAATGCTTGTGCACTCGAAACGTCATTTTATAAAATTGTCCATACAAATTCTAATTCTCAACCAATTAATTTATTTGCTACATTTAAAAAAGCAATTTTATTAGTAAGAACAGTCAACCTCCTATATAGTCACACCCTCAGGACCAAAATAAATTTGGTATGATTAAAAAAAGTTATATATGTAACTATAGAAGAGGATTTTAATAAGTTTATTGTTAACTTTTACTAACAAAATGTCTTATAAGGGAGGAGGTACAAGATGACTATATAGGCGGGTCGACTGTTGTATTTTTGAGTCTGCGTCACAAATTGAAATTGGTAATTTGATATGCTAATTATACTTTCTTTAAAAATAAAAATATGTAAAATAAAATAAAGAGTATTATTCAAATTAAGCGATAAAAATATTAATAATTTTAAATTCCTCGAACAATTCGGACTGCTAGATACGGGCCTGCGCCAATAAACTTTTAACTTAAAATTTTATTTAAAAATTTTATTGAATACATTTGTATGCACATTAGAATTTCCATTTAATCTTTCTCTTCGAAAAAAATGACATTGTCACAATAAAGAGTAAACACACCTCCAACAAATTGATAACATTGGGCCGGAAACTTCCATTAAATTGGTAACATTATACTAATAGCATTGTTCATATTGTAGATTATTGTATCACAAGGTACTCGGTTATTGTGATTGGACTAAATCTGATAAACAATGCAAGGTGATCAAAACAATAGAATTCTAGAATTTAAATTTGAAAATAAGCACATTCGATTTAGAATTCCATACATAACGTTTTTGTGTAATATTAAATAAAAAAAATATATATAAGCTGAGAATTATAAGTCATTTTTTATCAAGCTTCCATGGAATTTACTATTACAAATAATGAAAATTCTTTTGATCAATCTCCAACATTAAAATCTAGTCCGGTATCAATCACGTTTATACCGTTTGATAAAAAGCATAATTGCCTTTGCGGAAATAGATACTCGCAGACACTTTACTTTGGCCAATCTTATTGTAAAGATTGTTTATCAAAGTATGTTAGTTCGATATATGATAATAATACATATTTAGATGTACTTATAGGCACAAATAATAACTATTGTAAAATACATAAAGCAACCAGAAATACAGATTTTTTCACACATAATATTCAGGAATGGTGTAAAAGTTGCTCCATTATTTTATTTTTCAAACAAGTTTATACAGGAATACGCAGTTATATGGATGAAATGAGATTAAAAGTATTAACAAATAATAAGGATTGCAAATTTTGTGGAAAATCAGTTTATCACGAAATACCAATATATATTCATGTTGACTTTAGGATATGTTCAGATTGTTATAAAGTTTCATTTGGATGGATAAAACCAACTTTAGCAAAGAATGATATTCCAATTCTTTATTTACCATGGTGGGATCAAAGTATAGATTGCAGAACCTGTGGAAATAACATAAATCATGTATCAGATTGGCTCAAATGGTGCTCATATTGCCAAATAACTCATAACGGATGCAGATACTGTTTAACCACGAATATCATATTCGGTATTACAAATTATTCTAAATGTAGTAAATGCAAAAGGACATCAATTATCAATATTGAGACATCACTCATAAGCAGTGGGAACGATAGTATGGATGAGTTTATTCATAAAACAAAATTTAATGGTCAGATTGCAGATTATATGAATAACATCGTGAAAGATTCTAATCCATTAAATGTATATAAATATCTTGAAGAAAACCCTATTTTTTCAAATTCTGTAATTAAATGGATCCCATTTTCCCAAATTACGAGTTTAAAAAGATAGCAAATGGGGGATTTGGCATTATTTATAAAGCAAATTATTTAGGCGGAATACTTAAATTTATAAATAATAAATCAATTATTGTAAATGAATCTGTTGCTATAAAAAAGTTTTTAAATTCAAGGAATATTAGCAAATATTTCTTAAATGAGGCAAGTGTTCAATTTACCATGTTTAAAATGTGAACTTTATAAAATAATCTAAAATAACCTAAATTATATCGTTAGTTAAGTTCACATCATCTTTGTTGTTCTGATAGTAAAGTTAATCGTGTTATGAG